TTTAAAAAAGAAAACAATAGTTTTTTTTTTCAAATATGAAATTATGTTATTGAATATATCCTTTTCCAATTAGTCTCTCATTCATTTGGGGCCTCCCTCAAATTGAGGATCAGTGATTTCCACATTTGCTCTACTTTTGCAATAGCATGAGTGCAGCAGAAAATCCACTGTTTTAAACATTTCAATGCATCCTGACATATAATCCCTCCGTGTTAGTTTTATGTTTATTGTCAGTAATCTGACAAAAGATGGGGGGTAGTGGGCTGAAGATGGGATTTCCTACTTCAGTGCACAGCAGGGAAGTGCTGCAGGAAAAAACAAAATTTTTTTTTTTTTGAGAGGTTTTTGTATAGGGAGTGTGCACTCGTCAGAGAGACAGAGACAGAGAGACAGAAAATGAGAAATCACCCCCCAGGGGGGATGGCCATGCCACAATCCCTTCTTCTCTATTCTCCCCTCGGGATCTTGGGCATGCATGCACACATGCCCAGCATGAGTTCTAAGCCACCAGGTCTGGGATGCGAACTGCGGTCGACTACATGGGAGTCCAGCGACATAGCCATTATGCTAACTGCTGGTCCCAAAAAACAAAATTCTTTTTTAAAAATTTTATTTATTTACATTCATTCACTGAACATCAATACAGTATACAAAATATGTTTTTCCATCCAGAATACTCTGTATATTGGCTTAACCGAGGATATTATCATACATGGAGTGGTCAACAAATGATTTTCCATTTCTTGTTTCTTATATAATTTTTTTTGATTCCCTACCTCTCACCTTTTGCCATTTCCCACCCTCCTCCCATATTGTCTCTGGTATCTACAGTTGTTTTCCATCCCTTCCCACTCCCACACACATTTTGATTCACTAAAGATCTTAATTAATCTAAAAACTTTCAATAGCAAGCACAGCTGATATATACATATCTATGAACATGTTGTCTGACTTGAGGCCTAAACCTCAGTGAGTAAAGTGAATATACTATAAAGTAGCACCTAGCTGGGGCTGTATAGCTTACTGCAGTCATTAAATAGGTATTTTTTAATGCATTTTTTAATTTCAAGAAAAAGTTTTTTCAGGTTTTGTTTATCTGAGGATGTTTTTGGCTTTTTTCCCCATATAAAGGATAATCTTGCTGGGTATAGTATTCTTGGTTGAAATTTTTTTTCACTTAACACTTAGAATATATTTTCTCATTCTTTCCTTGCTTACATTGTTTCCCATGAGAGGTCCGATTTTAGCTTGATGGAATATCCTTTGAAAGTAACTTAATGTTTCTCTCTTGCCAATTTTAGTATCTTGTCTCTGTAATTTTGGTTAATATGGCTACGATGTGTTTTGGAGATCTTCTTGGGTTGATTCTATGTAGAGTCCTTTGTATTTGTTGGGTCTGGATATTCAAGTGCTTCTCTAGATTTGGAAAGTTTTCTTCCAGGATTTCATAGAATAAATTATCAATGCCCTGACTTTTTCTTCCCCTTCCAGGATACAGATGACCTGGATGTTTGTGCATTTAATGGTATCTAGTATTAGCTGTATGTTATTCTCAATTTTTTGGGTTGGTTTCTCAGTCTTTTTGGTATACGTTTTTAGGTCAGAGGTACTATCTTCTACATCTGAGATTTGATCTGCATGATCTAATCTGCCTTTTTTTTTAAAAAAAAAGAATTACTTATTTAATTTTATTTATTCATTCGTTTTATTTATTTATTTTTTAATTTGACCAGAAAGACAGAGAGAGAGGGAAAAAAAGAAAGCAAGCCACCAGGTCTGAGACTCGAACTGTGGTCGGCCATGTGGCAGTCCAGTGCCCTTATCCGCCATGCCACCTGCCGGTTCCTCTAATCTGCTTTTAATACTTTAAAGGGAGGTTTGATTTCCTGTATTACAGCCTTCAACTCTAACAATTTCATTTGATTCTTTTTTATGATGTGTATGTCCTCTTTCAGATAATACAAGAACTTCCTCACCTTGTGGAACTTGTCTCTTTTATCCTCCATCTTCTTGAGTTCATTGTCTCTCTTCTCTTGCATCTCTGTTAGCTCTGTCACTATGAATATTTTATGTAAAAAAAATTTTTTTTAGAGGTTTTTGCTATAGGGCACATGCGCTCGCCAGACAGAGAGAGACAGAGAGACAGAAAGCGAGAAATCACCCCCCAGGGGGATGGCCACGCCACAATCCCTTCTCCTCCATTCTCCTCTCGGGATCTTGGGCATGCATGCACACACGCCCGGTGTGAGTTTTAAGCCACTGGGTCTGGGACGCGAACCGCGGTCAACTACGTGGGAGTCCAACGACATAAGCATTACGCTAACTGCTGGTCCCGTATGACTATTTTAAATTCTTTAGCTGACATTTCCAAGAGTTCCCTTGTATTGTACATTTCCAAGAATTCCCTTGTATTGTCTGTGGAAGATGAAGAGTTAATTCTTTTTCTTTAGGGAAATATATTTTCTTGGTTTCTCCTATTTCTTGCGCCTCTGCAGTGGTTTCTGTTCATCTGATGGATTATATGTTTTTTTTCCTAGTTTTTGGAGTTAAATCTGAGCATTCAGAGGACTGCAGCAGGAGGTGACCTGTAATCTCTAAACAGTAGTTTTTTTCCCCTTTGTGCACCAATTCAATGGAAATTGAGGATTAACCTGACCCTGAAAGTATTCAGATATTTGGCTACAGTGCACCTAGACCTCTTTAGAAACTTAGTGTGTTGATGCTGAGTAGAAAAGTGAGAGATAAAAAAAGGAAAACCCACCCCCCCAAAAAAAAAGGTAAAACGAGACAAGCACAATTAAAAAAAGGAGAGAAAAAATTTTTTTAAAGCAAAAATTGTAAACTGCACAGCACACTAGCGAGCCATGTGAAAGGGGTGCTCAGAACTCAGATATAGATGGCTGGTGATTGGCTTGTCTTATGGGGACAGAGGGGAAAGGTAAGAATTAGCAAGACAAAAGAGTGACAGAGTGCTAAGAACTTTAAATTTTAAAAATAAAAAATAAAGAGACAGAGTGAGACAGAGAGAATAGGGTGCTCTAACCTGGCTCAATCTGGGGGTCAGGAGGGTGAAGTCAGGGTAGAAGGTTGTCAGTGGTCCTAATCCAGGAAAAAACAAAATTCCAAGGAAGGGTTGTGGAGGAAGCTCTTCATGTGACTAGTGCCTGCCTAAGAAGGCCACTCACTCAGAATCAAATTACAAGTGGGTGAAAAGGGTACTGGGAAACCATAGAACTGACTGTGGGAGGCAGTGCCTGGCCTGCTTTTCTACCACAGTATGCCTCAAAGGAATAGTTTTAAGTCTTCTAGCAAAGCTCATACACTATGAGGAGGACTTCAAAATTTCCATGGAAAAATGGAATTTAAAGTACAAGCTTATTTTGGTGCCAAAAAGTTAGAATTCAGAAGTTTTTCTTTAATAGACATTTTTTTTTCTTTTTTTTTGAGAGGTTTTTGCTATAGGGCATGTGCGTTCGCCAGAGAGAGATAGAGAGATAGAAAGTGAGAAATCACCCCCAACGGGGGTGGCCACGTCACAATCCCTTCTCCTCCATTCTCCTCTTGGGATCTTGGGCACGCACGCACACGCGCCCAGTGAGAGTTTAAGCCACCAGGTCTGGGACTCGAACCGCAGTTGACTATGTGGGAGTCCAGTGACATAGTCATCACGCTAACTGCTGGTCCCATAATACACATTTTCACACACTTTTATTTATTTTAGATTTTTGCTATAGGATGTGTGTTCTCATAGGAGAGAGTCAGGGACAGTGAGAACTCACTCCCAGGAGGGATAGCCAAGTCTAATCCCTTGTCCTCTATTCTCCTTTTAGGATTTTGGGCATGCATGCACAGGTGCCTGGCCTGATTTTCAAGGCTGGTTCAGGACCCAGCTGTGGTCAGCCAAATGGGAGTCCAGTGCTTTAACCACATTTCACCTGCTGGTCCCTTTCCCAAACTTTTTTTTTTTTTTTTTTTTTCTACTTTTATTGGGTACATTTGAGGTTTACAAAATGTTGAGATAAACATAGCTACATACAGATTAACATAACATTTTTTCATGTGGAAAAAGGAGCTAAAATCTGTTCCATAAAAACTCACCTATTTACTAATCTATTTTTCATTTTTTTATCAATTACATGTTTTTTTCCTGTTCCCCTCTCCCCACCATTTCATGAAGAATTGAGTTTCATTTTTTTAAAATTATTTTGTTTAACTTATTTACTTACTTTAATTTAACCAGAGAGAGCATGGTCGACAGGGGTTCGCTTCCAACCCGGTGACTTAAAACTCACGCCAGCGCATGTGCATACATGCCCAAGATCCCCAGAGGAGAATGGAGAAGGGATTGCGGTGTGGCCATCCCCCCTTGGTCTCGCTTTCTCTCTCTCTCTCTCTGTCTGTCTGTCTGGCGAGCGCATGCGCCCTTTAACAAAAACCTCTAAAAAAAAGAGAGCGAGCGAGCAAGCTGCCACGTCTGGGACTCAAACCATGGTTGGCCATAGTGGGAGTCCAGTGCCCCCATCCACCACGCTACCTGCTGGCCCCAAGAATTGAGTTTCATTTTTTTAAAGAATTATTTTATTTAACTTTATTTGTTTATTTAAATTTGACCAGAGAGGGAAGGAGACAGAGAGAGAGAGAGAGAGAGAGAGAGAGAGCGCGCACGAGGAGAGAGCACGAGCGCAAGGAAGCCTCCAGGTCCAGGACTTGAACCAGTGCCCTTAATCATCACTTCACCTGCCGGGTTTCTTTCTTCTTAAATTGCAGAGGGCGAGTGTGCTTGCCACATTAGATGGAGAGACAGAGGATGGGGGAGAGAGAACGCATTACCCAGTGGAGCCTATTCCTTCTACATGTCTCTATTTTGTTGGGATTTTGGCATGTTTTCCAGGTCATTAGGGCTGGAACTCCAACATGGGCCATATGGGATCCAGATCCATTAACCACTAGGCCATGAGGGGCCGGGAGAGAAGAAATTTAACACAGACCAGAACACTTACTTATGAACGCTCTTATCTACCTTCTCAGAGCTGGGTGTTTTCCTCCATTTATCGTTCGGTCTTTCCAACCTTGTGGGAGTCATTCATATCCCTATTTCACAGACAAAGAGACACTTTGGAGGAGCGAAGAGGGGTGGACGTTCACGAAGTGCCATTTGGTGCCCGGAGGCAGCTGGTGCGAGCTCACCTCCCTGGAGACCAGCTTTGGGTAATCCGAGTGGAAACCGCCGCCTCGGGCCAGCCTAGGGCAGGCAGAACTGGGAGAGACCCCGGCGCGGGGCGCTCCACCCGGGAAGGTCGTAGTCGCGGGACCGGTCCGTCCACTTCCCTACGGCCCCTCCACGTAAAGAGCAAACGGGACCAGGACTCGGGCCGTACTGGGCCCGCCCACCGCCTCCTGGGGCCAGAGGCGGGGCTCCGGCGACCCCGAGCGCGGTCTGGACCCGGTCGGGCTGTGTGCGAAGTCGGCGCTTTGTCTCGGTTCCTACCGCCGGAGGCCGCGAGGCTGGCGCGGCCCAGGCAGTCCCGAGAACGA